AAAATAACCTCTGTGGGTCACAATGCACCTAAGGGAATCTCCCAAATTGTCCTCATCAAATAGAGTGGCCCACCTGTGAATTCATAACTACCTACTTGGGGAGCATCTTCTCCTATTTGTCAACTTAACCTCCAAAATTAACCACTTTAAAAACAAAATAACCCTAATCTCTTAGTTTCTTTTCCCACTGCTCCTGTTTATAGTTGATGTATATGCCTTCTCCATTTTCTGTAGCTGCCAAAGACTTAGAGTTCAAAAAATCCTCAGTGAATATTGAGAGGAGAGGAAAAAGATGGTAGGCTAGACCTGCATTCTTGGCAACAAAAACAAAACCTGGATCCTAACAGGTGGAGGGCAGGAGGGTGCAGCCAACGTGCACAGAGAGAAAGGAAACTAGAGCAAGCCAGGTGTTTTGGCCGATGTGCTGCTGGAGGTGTAACTGAGTGGGGCCAGAAGTAGTGGGCATCCAGTCTTCAGTCTGGCTGCTCTCAGGGTCACGGGAAGTGATTGAGAATTTCTGCCATGGGGTTACCTTCTGCTGGCGCCCATCAGTGCTACTCCTTCTTTTTTTTAAAACTTGTGTTCAATTATTACTTCCATTGTTTTTATCTCTGCATGGGTGAAGCTTATGAGGTAATGACCCTAATGGTCCACAAAGAAAACCGAATTAAAGAAACAGCCCCAGCAACAAAAACAAAAAGTTCAACATAATTTTTTGTGCCTTTAGTTCTATGAATGGGACAGTAATTTGCAGCAACCATAACGATCATTTAAAAATCCCCTAATTTCCTATCAATTTATACTTAGATGAACATATAGTTCATCATTTAAACTGGAAGGTAGCACTAGCAAAAACTGCACTGAGGAGATTGTGTTGGTCAGGATTCAATTTGAGAGGCAGAGGCACTAGGAGTGATGCAGAATAAGAGTTGTGAGCTGATGAAGAAGTCTAATTCCAGGCTGCTGCTTCTGCCCCTGGTGTTGGCCTGAGGTTAATGGAACTGACAGATGGGAGGAAAGCTGAAGGTCCCAAAAGAAAGGGCAAGGACAAATTGGAATCATCTGTGTCTCTCCAGCTCCAACCTCGGCCACAGGGCTGACCTGCAAGAAAAGCCCTTCTGCACCGTGCAAAAGCATATGCACTGGCCAGAACCCAAAGGGGCCAGGCTCTGCCCCAACCAGCTCCCAGGTCTGGGTGGGTATGCAGTGGCACCTAGCCCTCCATTGACCTTCACAGCATAGAGGGATAGCCTGCTAATTTGCCTCTGCTTTCCAAATCTTGCACACATTGGTTTTATGCTAACCTTAACTTAGAAACATACAGGAAAAGAATTATGAAAGCAGTGCTCCTGCTTAGCTAAGCTGACACAGCGCAGAGCACAGGAGGAAACACATAGGCTGGGCAAACCAAATGTGTGATCACCTTCCTGATATACCACAGCTCCTGCCCCCTTTTCTTCTCAACTCAGAACTTCTATGTAGTCTTTGCTCACACCTTTAGTGCCTCCTTTGTGCCATCTCCAATTCCTCTCTTCTCTCTATTACAAAGCCAAAGAACTGGCCTGGAAAATCTTGTCTGTGAGGGAACTGAGGAGCAGAACCTGAATCCTGTAGCCTCCAGGGACAAGGAAAAGGCTGGGAAGGGTCATGTGGTAGCAATCCCAGTCCCCTCATACTGGGGTACCATTGGAAAATTTAGGGTATTTTGGGTGTATGTGCTGCCTAGTTCATACTATATGATGATACTTTTCAGACATCTACCATTACTTGATTCTTTTATTTAATACCTCCTCTGCCTCTTCTGTGCTTGATTCTTTTATTCTATAAATATTTACTTAGTACCTCCTCTCTGCTTCCTGTACCAGAGTGGAGGAGTCCTGTCTTATTGATGTTGTTCCCTTAACAACTGCCAGACCATGCTCAGTATGTCTCTCAAATGAGTGAACAAACAAATGAATGAATGACATAATGGAGGGCTCTTGAAGAGTGTGGACCCCTTTCTGAGGGGGTTATCATTTTATCAGTGAAAAGTGTGAACTCTTAGCACATTCCCCCTATGCTCTACCCTCCTGTGCAATGCAGGACACCTAGAGATCTAAAGAGAACTGGAAGAACTGGGACCTCTAACTCTGAATATTATATATGAATTTAATTCAGGACCTTCATGGTATTTTAAAATGACCTTTGTATTTCATTATAAATAACATAAGTAAGTACAGACAAGCAATTACTCAAAGGCAGGCAGACACAGGAAAATCCAAGAGCACTAATAGGTTTTAAATGACTAATTATTTATTTATTACAAGTTTAATTGAATTGCTTCTTTCAAATGCAACTTATTGCTGATTAATAAAATGTTTTCTATTTACATTATATGAATACTTATTATCTCATCATACTTTACAGGCAAAACAAGACTTCATAAATGTGGGTGCAAATTATATTTAATTGATATCAGTAAACCAGTTAGAGATTCAACTCCACTAATCCTGATGCAGTTAGGTGAACTAAAATGGAATCAATTTTCTTTTCCTGAAGATAATGGTCTTGGAATGATTTTTACATCTTTCTGTGGTCCTTCTGTTCTTATTGTAAAAAAAACTTTGGATCTAAATTATGCCACCCCGAATATGGGAAATTGAGCATATGAATCTCACAGTTCTTCTTTCCCCTGACACTGTGTCACATGCTCAGAATATGCCCTGAAAATCTAAGCCCATCACTTCTGCTGAGGCACACAGCATCTTTCTGCTAAGAGACTGCAGACCCTAGGAGGGTTCTTTCTGTTTCTGAGTCTTATTCGTAACAAAGTGCTGGAAGGTAGACTAAGGATTCTGGAATCCAATGCACACAGGGATTTTTATATAACAGGCATAAAGTGGATTAAAAAAAATTCTACTTGTCCAGTAATGCCTGAGTATCTATCCTCCTGTAGTACTTGGTAAGCAAGATTCATGGCTTGCTTTTCTGGCAAATAGCAATAGATCTGTGAGTGGGTAGGATTCTTCTAGGGACAATGGAATTGGGATGTTGGAAATTATAATAAGGCTTGATTGACTCTGAACCACTAACACAGGTAGAAGACATTTACCATCATTGGAACTAGAATGAAATTAAAAACCCAGTGTATTTTTGCAAGACCGCATTTTTGCAGTAAAAGGACTGCAGGAATATTTTCAATCCCATATTACCTTCTAAAGCCTTGCCATTCCCTTTTCACAGGTGGAATGTACTTCCCCAGCTCTTTAACCTGGATGAGCTCTTGTGACTACAGCCTGTGACTGTCTGGATGAATGATCCTTTGTGATTCCTGAGGTGATGAGGTTTCCACCTGGCTCACTCTTTGGGTACATCTGCCTTAGGACCCAGGTCACATAGAGAGGTTGCATGTAAGCACTCTGGCAGATAGCCCCAGCCAACATAAACCAGCACTGATAGCTAGGCTTGGGAACCTTGCACCACCTTCAAGCAGAGTGGAGGAGATAAACTATTCCCACTGAGACCACCAAACACTTGTGCGAACAAAATAAATAGTAGCATTGTTTTAAGCTACTAAATTTGGGGTGGTTTTTTTTCCATGGAAATATGTAACTGGAACATTTTACTATGACCTGCTATGACACAGCCTACAAATACTGCTCCCACTCTGGGTAAGAGCAAGCATGACAAGATATTTCACACCAGGTGCACCAGATGACTTCTTAGCCAAAACAAAACAAAACAAAACAAAAAACAAACAAAAAATACAAAACAAACATACAACCCCCCCCCAAAAAAAAACAAAACCCCACACCAAAAAGTCATGATTTCAAATACTTGTAGAGCCATGTGGTCAGGGATGACATTCATTTCTGGTTGCTTACAGAGGGAAAACCAGGTAAAAGTTACTGGAAGGTGGCTGAGAGTTCTGTATGTGGAAGGACTCTCCACGTGGTGGCACTTGCTGATAAAGCACACCGACTGTGTCCATGCAGAGGGTGAAACCACCATGCTGCAGCAGTGTTGGTGTCAGGCAGAAAGGCTGACTGAGGGCACAGTTCTAACTTGAGTTTGTGATCCTGTAACTGAGTCACCTGTGCTGCCTTCACTAAGCTTTTTTAGGAAAGCATCGTTCTAGGCACACAGGAGGCTGTGACCTGGCTTTCAAGGAATGTTTGAGGTTCTTCATTAGATGGTATCTCTGGAGAAATGCCAGAAACAGTGTATCAGCCCTGATGTCTCTGGAAGTGATGTCCACTGAAGCACATGCAAACTTTCACTATGTATTTTATTCTAGAAAGGTATATGTGTTTCACCACAGCTGAGAATGAAAACAACTCTTGGTGGATTTCCAATTCTAAATTTTCCTTAAAAGGAGGTGAATACTGTCTTTTTAAAAAAGTGAATACCAATTTATTTAACATTCAAATTTCATTAAAAAACTTGTAATATGGTAAATTTACTGGGGGTTTAACCCAATCTAGGATATGATTGCTTGTTGAGGCTTAGTGACAGGGTCCATTTTACACTAAAAACTAATTGAATACTTTATTGAATAAATACCAACAAAATGCATTCAAATGCTTTCTGAAAAATCAATTTAAAGGCCTATTCAGGCTAATGACAAAACACAATAAAGGCAGATAAGCTCGTTTAACATAATTGGCTGATTTTATACAGCTCTTGTAACTTTTAGTCCACAAGTATATTATTAAATGAGAGAGAACATCTAATACAACCCTTTCTGTAGAACTAGGAAATAAATTTCTAAGAAAGAAAGATTTTACAGACCCCCTCTTTTATATCCAACCCCAACAGCCTAACCCTAACGAGGATAAAACCAATGACTTTTCTCACAAGATCTTATGACTTAAGTTGTTTTGCTATCAAAATCCATATTTCTAATCTGTTATGACCAATTGAGATAAAATTCAAATATTCCCAAAGAAAGAAGCACAATGCATGTTGTGATCACCTATTCAGTAACACTAAGCACTACATTCAAAACTGTCTCATCCCAGGAATTAGATAAGGTCAGCCACATTCATTGGCATTTCCTGCACTGTAGTATTGTAGAAAGTCTCAATGTCATGAAGAATCTTCTTGTTTTCTTCAGTAACAAAGTTTATAGCCACACCTTTCCTCCAAAATCGACCCCTTCTGCCAATTCTATGAATGTAATTTTTGCAATTGGTAGGAAGATCATAGTTTATAACCAATGATACTTGTTGCACATCAATCCCATGGGCCAAGAAGTCGGTAATGATCAGAACACAGATTGACTCTGATCGGAATTCCCTCACGATAATATCTCTGTCTTTCCTGTCCAGGTCATCATGTGGAGCAGAAACTGTCAAGTTCCTGGCATGCATTTTCTCAGTGAGCCGGTCCACCTTGCACCTTGTATTGAGAAAAACGACAGCCTGTGTAATCATCTCATACAAGTCACAAAGTGCATCCAACTTCAATTCCTCTCTTTTAACATTAATATAAAACTGTATGATTCCTTCAAGGGTCAATTCTTCCTTTTTCACCAGAATTTGAATTGAATCTCTCATGAATTTTTTGGTCACTTCCAACATATCAGTTGGCATCATGGCAGAAAGCAACACAACCTGAATACTTGTATCTGATTTTTGGAAAACATCATAGATTTGGTCCTTAAATCCCCCACTCAACACTTCATCTGCTTAGTCCAAAACAAACATTTTGATCAATTTTGAGGAAAGTTATCTTCTGTTTAACATTTCAAACACTCTCCCTGGTGTACCAACAAAAATATGTGGTGTTTCAGCATGCAGTTTTTGCATTTCATTGAGAACACTGGTTCCACTAATGCAGACATGACAAGTTGCTCCCATGTAGCCTCCAAGTGCCAGAATTACCTTTTGAATCAGTTGTGCCAGTTCTTTGGTGGCGGCCAATGCTAGTGCTTGGGTCTCCTTAAATTCAATCTCCAACTGTTGCAGGATGGAAATAGCAAATGTGATTGTCTTGCCAGTATCTGACTGAGCCTGAGCAATCACATCATACCCTTTAATACAAGGAATAGTAACTCTCTGCTGAATATCTGAAGGCTTCTCAAAACCATAAGCATATGTGTCCCAAAGAAGAGACTCCTTTAAATTCATATCATCAAAGTTATCAACAATCTCGTTCCAGTTGCTCTCAATGACATGATTGGGCTCCATTCTCTCTGGGCAGCCATATTCTCTGTTATAATCTGTGGAGCCACCAGACATGTTCCGAAAAAGCACTCAGTGCCCGACTGCAAAGCAAACACTGTCTTATCAGTGAAAAAATTCCATTGCTCTTTCTCATGAGATTAATTATTCTACTTTAGCTTTATGTCGTTCATAAAGTGTTTACACTTTTCTAGAAAACATATCACTGTTAGTTATAATTGACAGTGTCACCTTGAATGATTTAGGATGTACTTTTGCCAAGACATGAATTCAGATATTAAATGTTATTCAATGTCAATTATACTGTGATTATTCTGAAAGCTGTTTTTAATATTCAATTTTCATTCATTTAGCCTATGACTATAATTTAAATAAAGGATTTTCTTTATTGCGTTAAGTGTATTACTAATACAGTGCTTTAGCTTAATAACTGCACCATGCATACTAGTTTATGTATCTTCAAAAATTTTGAGCCAAACTAAAATAAAGTGTATTATGTAACTTAATTTGAGGAGAGAATTTATTATAACTCTTTTGAAGACTGTGAAAGAAAACATAGGATTATTTTTAGAACCCCCAAGGAATCTGAAATATTTATGTCACAATGCTATGGAAACTGCAGTCAGTAATGAGGAGATGCCTCATCAGAGTGAAATGTTGATTGCCTTAGAATAAATTATGATTTATTTATTTAATTGAATGGCCTGTTCCATCATTTTGAACAAATTCATGTTTAAAATGTTATTTTCCAAGTAATCAGTCAAACCCCCATCTAATCAAGACCAGAGATTTGTCTTGGGATCTCCCTCTGCATCATCCTAGTCTGAAGGGGCTGGTTCTGTTTCCAAAGCATGCAGGGGGAAAGCTGGAGGGTGTGAGTGCCTGCCCTAGATCCCTGGCATCTGTTACCATTGCTTCTTATGCTGGCCTTGCTGGCTGCAGGCATTGTGCAGTGTGGCAGTGGCCCTGACTCTGCTGGAATGTGAGAGAAGGGGGAGGACCCCAGTAGATGCTTGCCCATTATGACTCAATCTGCTAAGGGTCTGGATTTACACTCTTTTACAACTGGTGTAGTGGTGGACCACCACAAGACATTCTAGGGGGCCAGTCCCTCCTCTCAACTACCTTCAGTCAACAGGGCTCTCTAGGTTGCATCTCTTAAGTACCTGCACACATGCAGCTATTATGTATCAGGAGGTTGGGGAGGGAAGATCTTCCAGCCTCAGCCACATGTTCAGCTAGGTCAACTTTCCCATGACCACCAAGACACAGGCTATCAGACCAACCTCACTTGTTTTTGATTGGTGACCACTTTTGCTCTGGGTGGCCCCTCCTTCTGGCACACAGCAGTCAATAAAGTATCTTGGTGAAGGGTGAGAAGGCTATGGAAACTGACTCGAGCCTTTCAGCTTTAGGAGGTTCAGGGAAGAGTAAATTTTTTAAGTCACAAAAAATGGTTTTATTGAATGTGCTCCCCCAGGCAGTGGGCACCTACCGGTTTCATCCATCCATAGCAAAGGGAGCAATTAAACATGTCTTCCTGGCACAGAGATGCCCTGACCCAAAACACTTCGAGCCTCACCCACCCAATGAACAGGTTACCAACTCACATGGCGCAGCTTACTCTTTACTTTTACTGAAAAGTAGTTCAAGTTCTCCTAACAATGTATCTCAACATTAAGAAACAAAGGTGAGACCCTGAAGAGCAATACCATATCCTGTTACTTGGATCAATGACATTACATTTCAATTATGTAGAGTAGCTGCTTAAAAGAGTAAAATAAATGTATGGCAATTATTTTGAAAGCTTGAGAAAATTCCTGTATCATGATCTCTGTAATGGGTATGGCAACATTTGTGTAAAACTGAATTACATCTGTAAAGCATTTTGCAACCTGCAGATGGACAGTGTTGTGAGTAACTGAGAGTGACTGATGAGACCCCCTGCTGCAGGCTCCTCCACTTCCCTCTGTGCAGGAAGCGGGAAGGATTCCTGCCTGCAGGTTTGGAATCCCCTCCCTGCTTATTCTTCTCACCTGAAGCTTTATCCATCACTTCTGGCAGTAAGTGCTCCCTCCAGGCCTGCTCTAACTTTGTCTCTTACTTTCAGCTGCTTGTTGCAAACCCTCCTGCAGGCCAAGGTCCTTATTTATCCCCTGAGTCCCTACTCCTCTGTTATTTTGTTTTTTATCCTTATTTTTGATTGTGATAAAATATATATAATACAAAATCTGTTTTAACCATTGTAAGTGTTCAGTGGTATTGAGTATATTCACATTGCTGTGCACCCTCTGCAACCCAATGAATTCGAATCTTGTGTCTCCCAAGGATGTCTCCTTGCCCAAATGGTTGCCTTCAGGGTTGCCCAGGTAAACCTTCCTAAAACTTTGGAATCCCTGGGAGAACTTCTTGGTGGTTCTGTAGGGCCTCTAGGGTTTTGCCAATCTATTTAGCTTAACTTTCTGGCATGTCCACTCTATGCCATTGAGTTACTCTTCAAGCTCATTGGTTCCCATTCTCCTGCCAGTGAGGTCTCTTCTCTGCTCCTCATCTTGCACCTTTGACCTTGTGGAAGCTTTTCTCCCTGCCCTGAGGGATCCCGTTCCCTTCTTCAGTCCAGGCCAGTCTAGTCCACTCACCAGTTTGTAGCACCTGGGCTGTGGAGCACTCCTGGATGACTCTCTCATTTTTGCCCTTCATTGTAACATGTTTCCATCCACAAGACAGACTGCAGATCCTGAGAGTTGGTTGTAAATTTTCTCCCCACTGATTCTCTGGGGCTGAGAACAGTGTGCTACATGCCAAACAGGTCCTATATACATGGGCAATGGGCTTGAAAGGCCGGTGACACATTGAGGTTGGGGTTTGCTCATGAGAACGAACCAATAGATAAGGATTTGATGGGGTGGATGTTGAGTGGAGAGAAGTTGATGTGCTTTGCAGAGAAGAGACACCTAATGACAAAAGTTAGGTGTTTGCTGAGAAGGTCCCAGGACTGTGGCTAGAGAGATGGTGTGTAACCCCCTCCCCCACTTCTCTTGATGCATTACAGATGCAGACATTCTGAATACTATAAATGGTGAGTTTCTTAGCTATTAAGAATCTTGTTATTATTACCTCATGCCTGCACTCACAATATAGACTATGTGAAAATCATTTTGAGAATTTTGTTCTTTTTTATAAATAGCAAAGTGCAATAGAAAGTCCTGATCTCATACAATTTTGGAGTAAAAGGGAATTCAGAGATCAACTGTTTAACACTCTTCAAATTGAGTTTAGTCCAACTTTGCAGATGTTTATTTATTAAATGCTTACTATGTTCATGACACTTTTTGATGTGCCTTAAAGACTAATAGCACAGTCTTTGTTCTTGAGAAATTTGTGATCTTATAGTGGCTATAACACAACTACAAAATAAATATAAGGTAAGGCAGAATGTGAAAGATGCAAGGAAAAGGAGCCAAAGGAATTCAAAAGAGAAACAGTCAGTAAAGGTTTCCTGGAGGAGGTGGTCTGTGAATTAGATGGAGTTTCAGCATGGAACAGAAAGATGAAGCAGAGTTTACACACACAGGTATGTAAACAGGGGTGGATATGGGAAGGAGCTGGGAAGATGGAGAAAGTCATACCTGCCAGCGAAACAGCCAAGAGGAGGCACAGCCCTGAAAGCAAGGGAGTAAGGCCGGCCTGCAGTGCAGACACAGGGGTGGAGGAACGGCTAAGGAAAGAGGAGCCATTGTTCAGTTACAGTGAGAGACAGAATTGGTGGTGATGGGAATGGAGATGGGAATTGAAATGGAAGACACTTGGGGAATATTGAGTCTATTATGATGTTAGAAAGCTGCAAACATTGGTAACTAGGTATATATATGAGGGACTGAGGTGAGGGAAGTTTTCAAGGTGGGCTTTTGTTCTAAACTTGGGTATGTAGGTAACTGATGGGGTCAGGGCAGCCACAAGAAGGTGTGCTTTAGTTGAAATTCATTTGGTTGCAAGTGATAGAAGTTCAGCTCAAACCAGCTGAAGTAAAAGCAGGTTTCTAATGGCTCACATAGGATTTAGGCACAGCTTCATCCATGGATTCAAATGGTCAAATGAATCATTAGGACTCTCTTGTCTTGTCCTCCGTCTCCCCTTCTTTCTCCTCTTCCCACTCTTCATCCTCCTCTTTTTCATCCTCCCCTTCCTCATCCTCTTCCTTCTCCCTCTCTCTCCCCTTTCCCCTATCCTGTTCCTCTCCTCTCCCCAACTCCCACCTATGCTCCAGCTTCTTCAAATGGCAGGACAGGTGGCCACTAACGTCTCAGGATATACTACTTCAAGGCTCAGAATCAAAAAGGAAGAGAGAACTTTCCTCCTCCTTCAATATCTACATCCATATGTCAATTCTCAGTTTAGAAGCTCATTGGCGCTGCTTAGTTAACGTGTCTGCCCTGAACTACTCATCTCAAGAGGTGAACAATTCTGACTGGCTAGCCGAGGCCACATGGCTTGTTGGGGACACAGGTGTAGTGGTGTGACTGGCCTTCTTTGAGGGTCACATGGACTGGGGATGGAGAGGTCCTTCTAAAGAGGGGGTGCTGGGCTAACCAGTACCATCTGTCCACAACAGAGGTGCTTTGTGAGAGGGTAGAAGAGATGAAAATTGATCTCTTTTACCAGATTCCTTACAGACATAATTGTGCTTTCATTCTTTAGTTGATGGGAGTGCCTACTTTATGAGATAGTTAGTGCTTTGTTGGACAACTCAGCCTAATAAAAAGCCCTTCTCTACATTTAGCTGAAACCTGCCTCCTGTAACTTTAACTTATTTTAGTTCTCCTGCTTATAACAAGGGAAAACAAATACACTTTTTCAATGTGTTATTCAATCTCAGAGATTTCAAGGATCTCATGACTACAAGGAGGTGAAATATTTTCATCTTCCAGCTTTTAGAAGATGTACTTGAGGTTGACAGAGGTGATGCCACTTGCCTGAGTTAGATCAGCCAGGTGCTCCTTCAACCCCAGAGACAGGCTCTACTTATGCACTACACTGCCTGTCTTGGTCCACCTGGC